CGGGGAGCGGGAGTGTAGCAACCTGAGGTCGATTTCCGTTCACGGCCAACACCAGCGATGATTATCTCCATCGGACCCGAGCCTCCCCTAAGTCGACTCAGCCTCAAATGAGTATCTGGTGTGGTGTGTAAACATTGCCACTGGGGAGACAAAGGCGGTCGCGTGTGGTGCTGGCCACCCACCACCTCTTGTACCGTGCAGGCCTTCATAGTTGCTCGCTAACAGCACTTGCCCCAACAATCTGTTAAGGCTATACGCGGGGGGTCTGTCTGAGAGTGTTAGTGGCTGTGTGTATGTCTATGTGCAAAAGCATGTGCGCTCCAGTAAGTGTGCTATTGCCGGGTGGTGGTGGCTATGCACGTGGCCTGTAATCGAGCATATAGTGTAGGCACCATGTATGCTGTGTGTCTGTATGCTGTGTGTGTATGCTGTGTGTCTGTATGTATGCTGTGTGCCTGTATGATGTGTGTATGCTGTATGCCTGTATGATGTGTGTATATGATGTGTCTATGTATGTGTAGTGACTGTACTTGTCACTGTGTGGTGCTGGGACTTGCGAAGTTACGGCCGGTAATGTCATTGCGGGCAGCCCGGGTTGCGGGCTTGCAGTACCAACACTAGCAGTGGTTGGGTGAGCGCTGGTGAGCGCGAAGGCACCGTGAGCAGTGTGCGGTGCCGGCTCGCAGTGAGGGAGCGAGAGCGAGCATCAGCTAGCCAGGGTTACTCTGGGGCATGATACTCCGGCTGACCTGTTATCACGTGACTGGATGATACTGGAGGGGGGCCACCGGTGCACGGGGGCTGAGGGGCGGTCACGTGGTCCCGGAGAGCTCTCGGGAACATTCGAGAAGGAGCCCGAGGAGCCTGGAAGGTGGGCGGGGCTAAGGGCGGAGCCAGCCCCAGCCCGGGAGCATATAACGAGAGCTCCGAGAGGAGCTCGGGGTTCTTTAAGTGTTGGTGTTCGAAGATTCACGTCTGGGAGAAGAAGCCTCTAGTTACACGGTCCGGGACCCAGCTTGTGGTCCGGCCCGGGATAGCGAACCGTGTCTAGTTCTGCCGTAGCGTGGTTAGATGGGCATTCGAGACCCGAGCGTAGGTTGTGTTATGTTCATACTGTTGTGTGAATAAATAGTGTTGCTCCCAAGATAATGTCTGCGACTCAGTTGGACTCACTACATATGTATGCTGTGTGCCTCTATGTATGCTGTGGGTATGCTGTGTGTATGCTGTATGCCTCTATGTATGCTGTGGGTATGCTGTGTGCCTCTATGTATGCTGTGGGTATGCTGTGTGCCTATATGCTGTATGCCTGAATACTGTGTGTATCATGTGTGTATGCTGTGTGTATGTATGTACGCTGTGTATACTGTGTGCCTGTGTAGTGAGCGACTTCCGAGACACGACGAGTAGGAGGCTTCTTATTTATTAAGAGCATACTGGGCGATACATTGTGTAATGCAGCTACACATAGGCGATCCGAACACGTAGCCCTATTTCCGGCTTCGCTACACAAGTTGTTCATCCAGCACAGCGACGGAGAGAGAGTCTTTCAGAAGATCAGCCACGTGGTCGGAGACGAAGAGACGCCGATGAGCAGCGACGCAGCCAGGGCCCAGGACCCGCAACAGCCCAGAACCTCTGGTTCGGTCCCGCTTATATCTGCCTGGTGCAGCAAAGCTCCACCTCTGGCCACGCCCCCTTTCCAGAAACGTCGGGCTGGTTCCCAGAGCTTCTCGACTGACTCCGCCTTTCACCTTTACCCCAGATACGCCCCCCTTATACTAAGGCATTATAAGGCCAGAGCTCCCTGCTAGAATCACAACAGTCCCGCTTCCCATTGCCCATCACCCGGCGAGCACGCGTCGCGGCGCAGTGAGGTGTGCGCGAGGTGAGTGTGGGGGCCGAGCAAGTGAGGTGTCGCGACTCGCCTGGGAATGTCATGCCGTCACGGGTGCCCGAGGATCTGATGGCCGGGGTCCAGAGGTGTGGTGTCGGGGCGCTCGGCAGTCGGCTGACATGTGGCCTCGCAGACCGCAGTTGAAGCAGGTGACGTCTGGCCGCGGAGAAGCCCGTCCCTGCAGGCGGTCGTCCCGACGTCGTGTACGTTCAGGAGCCCTCCATCTCGGAGGGCGAGTCGTCGCGAAGGACTGTTCAGGTGGAGGGTCGTCGGCCGCGCAGCAAGGTTCCGTAGGCGTCGTGCAGGCGGCAATGCCCGAATCCCGGTGGAGCAGCAGATGGTTGTGGATGTTCTTGGCGGCGCGCAGGGGGACCGCACAGACTGCAACAACTACAGGGGCATCTCACTCTTCAGTCTGCCGGGAAAGGTCCTGGCAAGGATTATTCAACATCGCCTTGCTAGGCACACTGAAGAGTGGTTTGCGGAGCCCCAATGTGGTTTCAGGAAAGGGCGGTCCTGCACAGATGCCATATTTTCTGTCTGTCTGCTACAGCAGAGGTGTAGGGAATTCCAACATGACCTACATCTCTGCTTTATTGACCTGGTCAAGGCCTATGATACCATCAGTAGGCCTGGGCTCTGGGTTGTTCTTCATGCTTTCGGAGTCCCTGACCCTCTGCTCACGATCATTAAGGACCTTCATGATGGTAACACTCCGTGGCCAGGAGTCAGAGTCATTACCTGTACACCATGGGGTGCGACAGGGATGTCCTCTGGCTCCCACATTATTTAACATCTATTTCGACCACATAGTTCGTGAAGCCTTCAGTAGCTGTACCAGAGGAATTTCCATCTGGTACAGATACAATGGGAGGCTGATCGATGCCCGGGTGCGGTCAAGGGATGGCTCCCAATTGCTCAACCATGTTATGTATGCCGATGATCTGGTAATTGCTGCTCACTCAGAGGGGGAGTTCGAGGCGTTGCTGCTGAACCTGGAGCTTGCCACTAAGAGGTGGGGCCTTACCATCAACCCCACCAAAACTAAGCACCTACCTGGGTATTTTGTACCATCGGACACTCCACCCCCACAACTCCCAATTTGGTGATGGGGCAGTTGTGGAGAGAGTGGAGCGTTTCCCATACCTGGGCAGTGTGCTCATGACTGGCTCCGGTTTGACAGCAGAGGTCTCACTCCGAATCAGTCGAGCGGCATTATCTTTTCATCGGTTGCGTAACGCTGTGTGGAAGCTGCCTCGTCTGTCACTCCGCACGAAGCTTCAGGTCTTCTCAGCCACAGTCATTCCCTCCCTTCTCTACGCTTGCGAAACGTGGACCCCCTTAATGGAACATCTTCGCCGGTTAGAAAGATTTAGGTTGGCCTGCCTACGATGCATCCTGGGTTTAACCAGGCTGGATTGTGTGAGGAGCTCACAAATCCTTGAAAGATCTGGAGAAAGTCCCATCGGTGAGCTCCTCCGGCAGACAAGGCTGCATTGGCTGGGTCATGTAGCCCGCATGCCTAAACAGCTTTTATTTGTCCGGATCGAGGGGACAAAATGAGCGCGGCATGGGCTAGGGAAGAGATGGAGTGATGTGGTACAAGAGGATGTGGAGCTGAGTAGACTTGCCGATGACTGGTACCAGCGGTGTCAAGATCGGCCTCTGTGGAGGAGGCTCGTGAAGGATGCTACTGGGCAGTTGGCGGCAGTCACCCTCCAACAACAACGGAGGGCAGAGGAGCGACGCTCACAACGAGCAGAACGCCGGGTGGCTAAAGCACAGAAAGTTGGCAAAGTAGGGGGCACAGGTGGAGCATCAGCCAGTCATCTCAGTCAGTCGACCCGGGGCACCTGAGTTTACCCCGTGACCTCGTACTAGCCCGTGACCTCGTACCAGCAGGCGTTCGACACTTCACGTGGCCTCAACGTGCACATAGCCTGGCACAAGCATCGTGGTGATGTCACCACCACTTAGTGGCGAATGGCGGTTGTTGTTGCTTTGTATGTATGTATGCTTTGTGTATGCTGTGTGTTTTTATGCATGCATGCTGTGTGTATACTGTGTGCCTGTATGCTGTGTATGTATGCCATGTGTGTATGCTCTGTGCCTGTATGTTGTGTGTGCCGCATTGTTATGGACGTACACGTTTCTGTACGGTGATAGAGCTGAGCAGTAGTGCGTTCGCCACTTGATGCAGAGATTTGTGGTTGAAGCCCAGCGGCCGCCCTAGTAAATACTGTGTATTATGATTACGACTACTACATGCCAAATGCTTCAGTTGTCTGTCAGAGATCCCATGATAATATTAGAAAAGATAAGTAGGCCACTTGTGCTGGCGTCATGATCCATATTTGATAGATTACTCACAAATGACTAAAGTGGGAAGACCACGTAGCAATATCGCTCTCTACTGGCAGACTAACAGCCGCTTGCAGGCCGGATGCCGCGTTCAATTTGTGCCGCACAGGGACAGCTGCCACCGGGGGTGGCAGAGCTCAACCGTATGGCAGGCGCAGTATGGATATGAAGTGGTGATGATGATGATGATTAATAAGGTGAAACTTAACCGTAATTATGCGATTTTCAGTCTGGAACAATCCGCTATAGCCGACGTGACGCTGCAGGGAATTTACTATTTTACATCGATTCGCATTTGTGCAATATTTTCGATTTCACACGCCGCTTGTGACGCGTGTGTGTAACTCTGTTGTTTTTTGCCCGGATTGCTATGTCATTTCGGTGAGCCTGGTTAAACCAAGGTGGTGAGATATACAGGAGGTCGTGGGTTTGATCCCGATCCTGACCCCTGTATATTTGAAGTGTGTGTCTCCTCGTGGTCGTGTGGGTTATTCTCCAGGTCCTCCGGTTCCCCCCCCCCCACACATTTAGAAACATACGTTTAGAGTATTTTGCTGCTTTAAATTTCCACAAGATAAGCCACATCGTTGAGCTATCATTTGCGATAGCCACGTCGCTTCTGAAAAAGAGATACACAGCTCAGCGGGCCTTACGTGGTAATTTTTCATATATATAGTTGTATAGCTTAACCAAGCAAACGTCGATAATGTTGATGATGTACCGTGGCGTGGCGTGTGAGCAGCCTGCTGGGCACGTTGGACCTGGCAGCAGTGCTGCGCAGCGCCGAGGAGCTCTTCTACTCATACTGCCGCCAGTCGGTGCTCGACTGCTTCGCTGACGGCCGCACCAAGTCACGCCCTCGCGGCTTCCTCGCCTCCAGACTCTCGCAGATGTTCAGCTGAGCCCGCTGGACCCCCTCCGGTCAAGCTGCACGCATGTGCCCGCGAAGAACGCACGCCACGAAGAAGACTGGATTAGGAAGGCGACTCAAGCAGGTGTGTTGGGGGAGCGTTGGGGAGAGCAGAGGGGTATTGGGGAGTTTGCAGAATTCTGGGCTTCCCGAAGGCTCCCTGTCCCTTCGCTCTCTGCAGGACACGGGACTTAAAACTAGGAGCAGGACATGTTTCGGCGAGTTACCCATGTTCCGTGCATGTCTCGATGAAGAGAGCTGTTCTGCAAAGTAAGAGAGGCCGCAACAAAATAGATTACTTTGAATACAATTGTGGTTTTTTTTAAAGAGTGAAGTTGGATAGAGTGGCCAAATATTTTGTTAACTTGCATCCCAATGTGTGATTTTTTTAAATATATTTTTTCTTAATCTCTCGTAAATAACTTTGCCGGTCTTTGCCGCTTTGACCTTATTTCTCGTTTATCCGCAATGTCAATAGGATCTTGAGAGTTGTGTCACCGATGGTGAGTTGAGCGATCTGAACGATGGTGAGTAGAGTTGTGTGAACGATGGTAAATAGAGTTGTGTGACCTATGGTGGGTAGAGTTACGGCCAGTGTTTTGCCAAGTGGCCCATTGCCAATTGTAATGATGCCCGGTCTTGTGTAATAAATTAACTTTTATTTGTGATTTTTTTAAATGAACACAAAAACAATAAGATCCAAAAATAACGTTTTTACCACGGCCAACAAGTTTGTGAAAGAGGCAGACAAGAGTAACGGAACTCAATTCAGCTACACGTTCACATCTAGCTGCGATGTTTACAAGCACAAGAACATCTCGAAGCCAGTGACTCTCCTGACAGTGATGCACAAATAACAACAAAACTCTTGTCAACAACACTTACCTTAAAATGAAAACATTTAACAGGCGACGCTTTTGGCAATGGCCCTTCTTCTTGTGCTATGAACAAGGAGCATTTCTCGAAACGTCGCCTGTGGTCCTTGTTCATACCACGTGAAGAAGGGCTATTGCTCCAAATGTCGCCTATTGTCATTTTCCTTGAGGCCACTGTTTTTGACGAACGTGTAGAGTTTACTGTGAGTGACAGTACAGCGTAGGCTGATTACTACCCTGAGCTCCTGTCTGTCGTGCCGTTGCTTGAGGCTTGTTTACAGGAGTCGCTGCATCACGGCATCACTGCGTTATTTAACGTTTGCGTTTTCCGCAGGCGCTCCTCACCCAAGGGTGTTTTTTGCAGGTCGTGCTGCGCTGGTTGAGAATTGCCTCTGCCGAGAGTTTTGCCGCCCACCTGCCCCCTGACTTTCAAACAAGACACAAATATCGTGTAGAAATGCGCACACAAGCCTTTGTGGGTGTGAAAAAAAACCCATCAGCAGTTCCTGGAGAAATGCACTGTGGTCCTCTTGTCTTAGGTCAAAATCTAAATTTATTTGAACAGACGTGACCCGACTGGCGGAAGCAGCGATAGACGACATTGTTATTGTGGGCATCTTGCGAAGTTGAATTAACACGTTGAATGTAGCCAATCATGCAGAAAACCAGGCTCGGGATTATCGCTGCATGTCTGCCAACGCCTCACGATGTGAGCGGTGGGCTGCCGATGTTGTAATCCTCGTCCCGCATGCGGACTCTTCAAAGATAATCAAACCCGCTTAATGAAATTTATTCGGGGGGGGCATTCATTTTTTGCTTTGAAAATTGATGTGTGATTAAATGGTGTAAAAATCGGTAGCCCTACTGCTTAAACCGGCAGGGTTGGCATGTATTAGTTTGGCGAGTTTGTGGTGAGGTTTGGTTATGCACAACCGGAACCAGAGCATAACCTCGACTCGCCCTCTGCTGCTCAGACGACGCCACTGCAAGCCCAGAAAAAACAGCACATCAAAAAAACCCCAGCACATCCACTGAAGCAGTGTTCTTCGCTAATTTTCAGTGGCGGGTCACATTCGCCGATAAGACCTCAGTGTGAGGGCCGCTACACCGCCTGCTAAGGGCGTTTTCACATGTTGTGTATTGTCGGGGGCCCGCACGTCAGAGGCCGCACTAAAGGCCACCAGGGGCCGCCAATGGCTCGCGGGCCTTGCAATGAAGAACACTGCCTTGAAGCAATTTCAGGGCAAATCGTTGCCAGAAACCGTAACCGGCAACACGGCTCGGCTCAGGCCGGAGCTGCTTACTCGCTCGTAGAACCATGGCTTGGTTCAGGTTCGGCTCGTGAGAATATTGGGCATGGCTGGCACCTTGGTGAGAGGCAGCTCAAGTGAAGCGTGGCTTATCTTGGTTCACTTGAGCCAAGCCTGAGCCGGACCGTGACGGGGAAAATATACCTCAGATTTTACAACACACAAAGCAGGAAGGCAAAACTCGAATCCATATGGTTTGTATGCATGCCATGTGACACTATTGCTTGTCTATAATACAGTTTTTTTCGTGTTAGATCACGTAAATATAAATGTGTCATTAAACCCACCACCACCCGACAGCCAATTAGTAAGATTTGTCACGTGAACATAACATACCTATTCGTTACTCGTACAGCGCACCGGTGTGTTGTAGAGCAGAGATATATGGGGAAATCACATCGGTGTGCTGTACTAGTAACGAATTAACATACTCTATACAAACCTTTATAATTAGCTGTGTCAGGTGGTAGTGGGTTTAACGACATTCATATTTATGCGCTCTAACCCAAAAAACCTGTATTATAGATGATATTGGTAGCGAAAGCCTAGTGTTAAACTGAATATTGCTTGTGCAATGCGTCTCAGCTTTGTATAAACCATCAGCTCGATCGAGCTGAATATGTCGCCATGTTATTATTTTGAACCACCAACTAAAACAGAGTTGAAACGTGGATATCCTAACAGGCAGCACTGAAACAAAGACAACAGGTGACCGGTTTCACTCGTATTAGTGCTCATCAGCACTGTACAGACAAGACTGAGAGCACTGTACATGACATGACTACAAGGCATATGGATGGCAGTCGTATCTGCTTTTTGTGAGCAGCACAGCTCTGCGTATTGATGAATTTCTTCAGTTGGTCTAGACAAGGCTGAGCATTGTACATGCGTGTAAGGAATATGGGTGGGAAGTCGTGCCTGCCTGTTGTTTGTTAGCAGCACAGCTCTGCGTGCTGTTCAGTCGAATTGTTTCCAGGCCCCACACATTTTACCCTTGTGAAGGATTTTTTTCATTAGTTGCAACGAGTGTTGGGATTATAAATCCACACCCTCCGCAGTGGAGCACTTAACGTCCCAGTGTGTACGCTCTACATTTAAGTGAGCACGGCCGTCTTATATTTTAATCGAGCAGTTTTTAACGTATGACTGTCGTTTACACGAGACTGCTGCAAAAACACAAAAAAGCCAAATAGGATGGGTGAATGTTTAAAATGAATGAGTAAAGAATACAGCAGTGGAACGCGAATTATGTACACGCACAAAAGTGTATCTTGCCTATGCACTGTGTTGACCGGACAGGAGTCGTGTTCATTGGTTTAACCGGGAGAGTCTCGCTGAGTCTGGAGACAATTTTTTGAATGAGGGTTCTGCCGAGTTTTTTGCTATTCGTTTCCAATTAATTTTTTTACAAATTTGGACCATGGTCCCAGCGACACAATGCCTTACACATATTCGGACGGCAAAACAGGATCTTTAACGTCTGCTGTGAAGCAGACGGCTTGTCGCAGTGGCGAGATATTATCTCTTTCGCCTGGTATGAAAGAGGTCGTGGGTTCGATGCCGACCCTGACGCTTGTATATTTAGAGTTTGCATATCTCTCTCCGTGATAGCGTGGATTTTTATCCGGGACCTCCGAGTTTTCCCTCCACATTTAGAATCAACAAAGCTAATCGAAATGATCTAAACATGCATTTAGATTATTTGGTTGCTTTAAATCACCTGATGATAAGCCACTTCGTTGAGCGACAGTGAGGGAAAAAAGTATTTGATCCCCTGCTGATTTTGTACGTTTGCCCACTGACAAATAAATGATCAGTCTATGTTAATGGTAGGTTTATTTGAACAGTGAGAGACAGAATAACAACAACAAAATCCAGAAAAACGCATGTCAAAAATGTTGATTTGCATTTTAATGAGGGAAATAAGTATTTGACCCCTCTGCAAAAGATGACTTAGTCCTTGGTGGCAAAACCCTTGTTGGCAATCACAGAAGTCAGACGTTTCTTGTAGTTGGCCACCAGGTTTGCACACATCTCAGGAGGGATTTTGTCCCACTCCTCTTTGCAGATCTTCTCCAAGTCATTAAGGTTTCGAGGCTGACGTTTGGCAACTCGAATCTTCAGCTCCCTCCACAGATTTTCTATGGGATTAAGGTCTGGAGACTGGCTAGGCCACTCTAGGACCTTAATGTGCTTCTTCTTGAGCCACTCCTTTGTTGCCTTGGCCGTGTGTTTTGGGTCATTGTCATGCTGGAGTACCCATCCACGACCCATTTTCAATGCCCTGGCTGAGGGAAGGAGGTTCTCACCCAAGATTTGACGGTACATGGCCCCGTCCATCGTCCCTTTGATGCGGTGAACTTGTCCTGTCCCCTTCGCAGAAAAACACCGCCAAAGCATAATGTTTCCACCTCCATGTTTGACGGTGGGGATGGTGTTCTTGGGGTCATAGGCAGCATTCCTCCTCAAAACACGGCGAGTTGAGTTGATGCCAAAGAGCTCCATTTTGGTCTCATCTGACCACAACACTTTCACCCAGTTGTCCTCTGAATCATTCAGATGTTCATTGGCAAACTTCAGACGGGCATGTATATGTGCTTTCTTGAGCAGGGGGACCTTGCGGGTGCTGCAGGATTTCAGTCCTTCACGGCATAGTGTGTTACCAATTGTTTTCTTGGTGACTATGGTCCCAGCTGCCTTGAGATCATTGACAAGATCATCCCGTGTAGTTCTGGGCTGATTCCTCACCGTTCTCATGATCATTGCAACTCCACGAGGTGAGATTTTGCTTGGAGCCCCAGGCCGAGGGAGATTGACAGTTATTTTGTGTTTATTCCATTTGCGAATAATCGCACCAACTGTTGTCACTTTCTCATCAAGCTGCTTGCCAATGGTCTTGTCGCCCATTCCAGCCTTGTGTAGGTCTACAATCTTGTCCCTGACATCCTTGGAGAGCTCTTTGGTCTTGGCCATTGTGGAGAGTTTGGAATATGATTGATTGTTTCTGTGGACAGGTGTCTTTTATACAGGTAACAAGCTGAGATTATGAGCACTCCCTTTACGAGTGTGCTTCTAATCTCAGCTCGTTACCTGTATAAAAGAAACCTGGGAGCCAGAAATCTTTCTGATTGAGAGGGGGTCAAATACTTATTTCCCTCATTAAAATGCAAATCAATTTATAACATTTTTGACATGCGTTTCTCTGGATTTTCTTGTTGTTCTGTCCCTCACTGTTCAAATAAACCTACCATTAACATAGACTGATCATTTATTTGTCAGTGGGCAAACGTACAAAATCAGCAGGGGATCAAATACTTTTTTCCCTCTGTATCATTTGTGGCCATGTCACTTCTGAAAAAAGAACTATATAGCTGATCCGGCTTTACCTGGTAAATAAATTAGTAATAAAATAGTATCTCCCATAGCAGATTTGTTAAACAGGACAACACCAATAATCCACGACCCTATTACCCGCAACTCCTATCATCCGTGGGAGCTGTAGCGCTCTGACAATTTCTATTGTCTGCGGCCCTATTTCTTCTATTATCTGCATATTTCCCGATCATTTTGCAGAACAGCTTGAAATTCACAAATATTTCACGGATCGGAGAAATCTCGTCACACACTCACATGTCCCGCTCAAGTCCACTCTATGTCCTGGTGCGTTTTCCCATTTATTCTCTTACGTTAACGAATGTGTTGTGTTTTTGTTAACCCTCTTAGCATGTGAACACAGGGCGGTGACATGGCCTAGCGCAGGGGTCAGAAACCTGCAACTCAGCAGCTGCATGCGGCTCTGACGACTGCTTCGTGGCTCCCGACACTGTAATTATAAGTAAAAAACACCCTCCTAATTATTTTCGATAAACAGTGATCGTCTAAAAAGTCCAACGATGATTTGGAATGCAGCATTACACATCATTGTGCGTGCGCTGTTCTTAAAATCTGGATTACAAAAAATAATGTTTGACGTTATTCATTAAGAACCATGTTGTATTCGCACGTATTGTTTAGTTTTTTACTGAATTCGAAGAAAATGGCTCATTGTTATTTTGGTTGCCGACCCCTGGCCTAACGGCGTCGGCTGCTTGTTTCGTAGGTTCGCGGTTCGAATCCAGCGGTTGCCCTGGTTAATCCCACGGGTATATTGACCATAAAAATACTTGTCTTTGTACTGTTCGCCTTTTTGCGTTCTCTGGTCTAACACCGGTGAGCCACGGCCATAAAGAAGGCTGCTTCTGGTGTAGGCCAATCAGTTTAAAAGACAATGTAAATATTATCAGAGCATGTTTGTTTGCCTGTTTTGCCACAAGTATGTGTGGTTAATGCAGACTTGGTAACTTGCAAAATGTATCTATTTGGTGTTTGAACACCTTAACACCTGTTTTTTTTTATTTCAAAAAGGGGTAAAACCTATTATATATCATCATTTTGGATATTGGAAAAAGGTCGCAAAGGCATAAAAATACAATGCTGCACAGTGGACGTTAATGTTCCCATGACGTCGTTCGAATAAGTGCGAACGTCTTGGTCCACATTTGCAACAACTACAAATACTTTTACAAATTATATTTAGACTTAAAACTATCGTGACTGCAGAAATTCATGTTCTATGGTTCTTTCGGTAAAGTCTCGTAGATAGAAAAATAATAAAAATAAAGTGAATAAAAAATAATAAAAATAAAAAACAAAACCACGACGTTTCGATCGCTACACAAGCGGTCGTTGTGTTGCGATCGAAACGTCGTAGTTTTTGTTTTTTATTTGTATTATTCACTTTATTTGATTACTCTTTGGTTCTTTCGGTAAAGTCACGTAGGTATAAAATAAAATAAATTAAATCACGACGTTTCGATTGCAACATGAGCAATCATCATTTTATACGTACGTGACTTTACCGAAAGAACCAAAGAGTATGGATCCCTGCAGTCAGGAAAACTTAAAATCTAGATTTATTATTATTTCTATCTACGTGACTTTACCGAAAGAACCAAATAATATGTTTTACAAATTACTTAAATGGGAAAGCGAGATCATTGCACTCTACTGCATAAACTTAGCAGGGCCCTTCTGAAAAATTCTTGAAGCGTAATTATAGATTGGAGTGTTTGTAATATGCATTTTAATTGGCTCTCTGATGCATGTGTAAGGGATCTGCGAGCCACCCTCACGCACCACGCAGATATGAAATATCCGCACTCAGTATAACACGCACGGGAATACACTAGACGGGGGTCAAGGGTTAAAGGGCACTGATGTAACCCGGACCAGGCGTGCGAGACGAGGATGTGTATTGGGAACGAGGGCGGAGATGGAGGGGTTAAAACGGGCTGTGAGACGCGTATTCGGGGTTGGTTTTGGAACAAGTGTTGCTGTGGGTTGACGAATAAAGAAGTGCTTAACCAGTCTCAGACTCCTCTTCACATGTATTCTTCATACTCTTTGTTTTTTTCGGTAAAGTCACGTAGGTTAAAATAAAAGAAAGAAGAAAAAACAACTAAATAAAATCACGACGTTTCGGAGGCAACACAAGCTTCCTTCTTCAGGTGGAATAGACACAGCGAAATATCTGTGTCAAGTGGACAGCTCAGAGACCGGGTTTATATACAGGTTAAGGGGGGGGGAGGAGCTAGACAGGGATGTGGGTGGGGGGAGGGCTGAGTTAAGCCGCATTTTGTTATGCTGTAGGCTGTTCGGGGGAGCGGTGGTGTACCGCGTGAAAAAACGGGTAAACCCCCTTTTGTTATGCTGCCGGGGGTTGGGAGGAAGCAATGGCTTGCTGCACGGGTGCAAGTACAGCTCAATTTTTTAGAAAGCATTAGAAATAGCTGTATAATTATAAGGGAGCTAAAGTTTGACATACAACCCACTGAGAGATGGAAATGGCTGTACAATTAAAAAGGTAGCTAACGTTTGACTTGATTTATGACATCTTTCCAATGGTTGCTCAATTTGAAACCATCCTCTCGGTTGAAGTTGTGTCCAGAGTTATAGCAAGGGTTGTGCACTGAACGAGATCTACTCTACAG